TATGTAGGTTTTTTTTGGTTGTTACAGATTTTGATACAGACATTATTCCTCCAGTAGAGATATATTACATTAAAACAATTTTGGTACTTATGAGTGTAGCACAAACGGTGTCATTTTTCATGGGCAGATCAATAATTTATCTGTGTTTGCATCAGGACTTCATAGTCCAGTTTTTGTAGTAGACTTCCACKAAGAAATAATTACTGGGAACATCATCTTTGTCATGTAGATAAGGCAATAAAAATACTTTCAGGTTATCCTTARTAGTTGGGGTTTYCSTGTGTCCACATTTTTCTTGTGTATGTCAGTGTTTCTGTCTGACAKAARGACAGTCAGTTTTGGCATTTTGTCTGATAATTGTGAAACATTAATACAGCTCATTGCTGTGTAGGTAATTTCAGAGTTCAAGTTTTTTGGAACTCAGATTTTCCTGTTAAAGGAAATGATGAAATGGAAGAAGCAAAGGCTTACTGTGTACTGTTGCGTACTGATAGCCACATTAAAGATTCTTCTCACCAGAATTTCATGGTATCATCTGAAATGCTTCCTCTTCTAAGCAGATAAAAAGTCAGGCTGAAACCCTAGCTCTTAMAACTCTTCTCATTTAGGGAAAGACTCTGACAGAAGTAGCTTTGATTACACCACACCATGTATTAACTTGTCTGATCCTTTCTTCACCACAGCAGTCCTCTGGTGAGTCCTAAAGAGTCCCAAAGCCCAGTTRTGTGTAGCAGCTTAACCAGATACCTGCTAGATTTGGATCAGTGAAAGTACCTGGATCTTTCTGACCCAGAAAGTCAAAGAGTCAAAGACTTTTGGCTTTCTGCTGTAAGAGTAGTTTCTCCTTCCGAGTATTTTTCAGCATTTCTGCTTTCTTTAGGGAATAGTTTTCTCTTGATAGACCTCCAAATCACCTGGGAAACTCAACCAAATTGGTGCTTYATATCCCTTAAGTCCCTTGTCATTGATTCATTTACTTGTGGGGTCTGCAAAAGTAACAATCTACTTTTGTTCAAGCAGGGAGTGCTAGAGGCCTCAGAAGCGGTGATTTACTGTTCTGAACTAGTGCTGAAAAGTGTTGAAAAGATAAAAAACTAGCTTTTGTATTGTTGACCAAATGTTGACTTGTTTCTGTCAACAAATTGTTTTGARAACATTAGTGAAAATGCTCTTTGTWATAAAAGTGTCCACTCAGGAGAGAGAAAGTACAGTAGCTTTGAACTTGTGTTTTGGCATATATTTAAACTCTTGTCTGCACAGGAAAGATTTAGGTACAGTATGGACACCAAAGCCAAATTGTATTTTAAAAACAATGATGGCTTACCAGTGATACAGTGTAGAGCAAGTTCAAAACCAAACCGCTTGTCTGGTAAAATACAAAGCCTGAAGTGTGTTTCTAGGCTTCTTCTGCTTCAGTGCTTACTGAAGGTGAAATGGTGATATGTCTTGGCTGCCTCCCTCCTAATAAATTAAACGTGCCTGGGAACATTCCCAGGCACCACATCCAACTGGCTGAGGACTGCCTTGTCCATACTTCTCAGCTAGAAGGGCAGAAGAGCTGCATCTGAACTGCCCAGTGTGAATGGGTCCTGATGTTTCCGACTCAGGAACTTGGGAATTGTGTGGGAGAACAGAAATTGGCATGGCTTGGTGCTGGGGAATGTCCTAGCTGCTTTCTAGCATATGTGATCATGTTCCAGGGCCTGGGAATATTTCCAGACCACACTTGACTTATGAGTACAGATGTTAGTCCTTGATTCTCCTGAAATCTTTATGGACCAAGGCATGGAGAGGACCCTTCACATCACAAGGGATTTTGGRTGCTTCAGAAAGGTGGATTTAGGAGTGAGTGATTCCTGTTTATTTTGAGGCACTAATTCAGCACTACTGAAAATATATACCTCCTGTCTTACTTTTTGATGGTTTTAGTGGTGGTTGAAACATCTTTCAGAATTCAGTCACCATTCCAGCACCTCCTTTCAGGGATGAGTAGACATGTCTGCCCTCTGTCAGGTGATGGCTTGTGTATGAATGAACATACTGTGGCCTTTCATGGAATTACTGTGTATGAAGTATGGTTTTTAGAGTTGTGAGGAATTTAATTTTGATCTGGTGTGCGTGTGCATGAATATTAAGAGTCTTGATTTATTGCCTGGGTGATGTGGTGAGGAGACAGTGTTGCACCTTGTACGCAATGGATCTTTTATGTCAGCAGGAAGTGAAGAAACCTCTTTATTTCTTCAGGTGTTTCTTCCAGCAAACAGTGAAAGCTCTGTTGAGCTGACTTTATTGATCATATGGAACGATTTCCTTCATTCTCTTCTGTGTTTGATTGTGCATTGGACTTTAAGTGTAATCCTAGCGTAGATGAGCCAGTAAAACACAGGTACTAATCACTGCTCTAAGGAGATACGTGTCCCAGAAGATAGTATGTAATGTAGTATGTAATGTAAACTGATGACTGTTGGAGCAGTTTGCTGCTCTAACTGATAACTGTTCTCTGCCTCCTTGCCTCCATGGTGTTTTGAGCTTCATTCCAAGCTTTGGCTCTGTCACACAGTCCTCTTCAGGATACTCTTTGTCTTTCTGTGCATTGTGAAATATGTATCAGCTCTGATAGTTTGAGTATTTATAGAGAGAAGTGGTTGGCAATATAAAATAATTCCGTTCATCGTATTTTGTCAAGGGGTATGAAATTTTACTATTGCATGTACTGTCTTAAAAGTGTTATGGACCAAATGTGTGGCATGTCATGCTTACACCAGTGATGCACCCCACAATTTTGGGAACATGTAATCTGTGTAACAGCGTCAGCTTTGAGAGCACTGCTTTGTATGAAGGACCCATTGCTCAAAGGTAGTGAGCTGTCAGATCTCAGTGTGTCAATTAATATGCAGCAGGCTTTGTCTGCTGATTGTTCTTCTAATTGCATGTACAGGATGATCTGTCTTACCAGCAGTAGTGGTGCATATTTTAAGGACAGTACAGAGGTGCTCCCTGTTCTCCCACAGGCAGCCTATGTGTCTTTTGGGGAACTATTTCAATCCTTGCAAAGYTGCTGGCAGCCCACTGTTCTGGCAGTGTCTTAGGAATGTGGAAAAGAGATGCTGCAGGCTCRGCTTGATGCAGCCATGGGCAGGATCCCTCTTTGCCTACTTGTTCTGGAGAGCTGTGATGCTGCTTGTGGCTGAGATGGATGCACCTTGTTCAGGATAGTTGGCTTTTCTAAAGAGCTGGATCTGTGCCAGAGAATGGGCCTACATCTCTGGCTCTCTGCTGCTCTCTACTAGGTAAAATCATCTAGTACAAGATTTTACTTGTGTCTATAATCAGTAAAATATCAAAAGGCCATATTTTATTTAACCTATTTATTTGTGATGAAAGCAGGCTGTTGCTACCCACAATTACCTTTTCACTTCTCCTTTGTAGTGCTCATATAACTGCAGTGAATAGAAGTGATATGACTGAAAAGTAATGCAAAACATGTATTTTCAGCCATGTTTTTTCTGTGGTCAGCCAGTTCATTCATTTGGGTTGCTTCTCATGGGCATGGACATTTCAGCCTCCCTGGGATAGCATTAGAAATGAGGTATGTGCTAGAGACAAGAAGGGAGCAACACCTATTAATTTCCTTCACCAGTAGCCAACACAGGTTTTATTAAAAATCASTGTGGAATTGAGGTGGTTGTCAGCCCTGAAAATAGTTTCAAGTGTATTGCTGTGCTGTCTGCTCTTTTGTTTTCTAACACTAATGAATTTTCCCTGTCTAATGAGGAGAAATAAAAACACCAACCTCACTTCTCTTTTCTTAAGCACTCAATCAAAACTTGAGTGTATTGGCCAAACTTMGTAATTTAAATTTCAGTCAAAACACTTGTATTTAAAATCAGAAGTTTGGTGACCTTGTATTCTTCTTGTTGCAACTTTTTGAAGGCTGTTAATTTTAAAAGCTAATGTAGCAGTCAGCCAAGCTTCAGGCTGCATAATTGGGAAGCAGTGATTCAAGTTGCTTGTGAACCAAATTCTCTTCATTTCTGAGGTGYGAGGTTTTGTTGTATGTTACTTATATAAAATACACTGTTTTCAGTGGTCATTGAGCAAATATGTTATAGAACTGAGCGTTGTTTATGCTTCCAAAAGTCTGTTGCCTGTTTTACAATCCAATGCTATTTTCTCATATGCTGTGTTTAAATCTGCCTCTGTTTTTGGTTTGTGTCTKTGACTGAAGGTTCCTTTATTCTTTGTGGTTGTGATCTTTTCCTTGAACCAGTTTGGTAAAGACTTAGTTGTCTTTCCTTTTCTCCTGTTTGATACAGCAATTAAAGTTGTTGTTCTATAGTTGAATCTTAAGATACTATATGGTGAAGTTGTGTTAAACATTCTATGTTCTGTATATCATATGAAAGAATATTTAGCTGTTTAATAAAGGAGAGTACAGAAAACATCTATAATGTATTYTGCTTCAGAGTTTGAATTTTCCTTTTTTGGAAAAGCAGCAAATGGTATGTGCATGGAAAATTAATGCTGAAGTGGTGGTACTTGAACTTTAGATTGTGATGTTCAGTTTTGAATACACATGGCCTTTGTTTGAAGTCTTAGGGCAGTTAATGTTTAGAAACAAACAAAAACAAAAAAAAAAAAAAAAAAAACCCAACTTAGAAACTACCTTTGACAATTGAATTTTATAAAGAACTAGGCTGAGGAAGTTTTGCGTGTTTTAAGGAACATTGCAACTGTATCAATTACTTAAAACCTGAGAACTTGTTCACCTTTAAAAACATTTATCATTTACCTTGAATCACTTGTTCCATTTTGATAGCCTCCTTCATATAGAAAATATAGCATGARATGTCAGTTTAAATGCCAGTCTAACAGTGCTCTATCTTCTATGTGAAAGGAAGTATTCTGTACATTTTTCCATGTTTGACATCATGGTGTTTTGAATAACCATGTTCCATATTCATATCAATTTTTTGTTTTTGTTTTCAATTTATGCACAGCACTTGCTCTGAAATTTGGGGACTGAGTACACCAAACACGATAGATCAGTGGGATACAACAGGCCTTTACAGCTTCTCTGAACAAACCAGGTGAATATTCTGCCCTCTCTCGCATCATAAAAATCTTGTGGGAGGGATTGGCTTTGGAGGGTCTGTAATGGGATGCTTTAGCTRTGAAATAGACTAAAATGCTTCCTAGGCCTCTCACGGTACAGCATTTTTAAGTACTTCCTTGCCAGTGTAGAAATCAGTGTGTTCACAGCTGATGTTTTGACCAATGAAACTCTTTAATTCTGCAATTATTTATTTTTTCATGCCAGTGCTATTGAAAGAATGGGAAGACTTGTTAAATGCAAGCGCTAATGTGATTTGGTATTTATATTAACAAAGTTGGAAAACTTAATTCTTTAGACCTAATCTTACAAAGTGTTTAAACTGCTTTGTATGCCACAAGCTTTCAGTTAAATCTTGTTAATTGGCTCAGATAGCGAGCTACTAAAGACTTGTTTGTAAATTCTTCAATAGTTAATGGTGGGCAAATTCTAAACAGGGTCTTTATTTTTTCATGTCACATTACTTGATTTGTGTATTGAGGTTTGTCTCCCATCCCATAACAGTCATAAACATCTGCATTTGTGTAAGCMTATGCAGTCTGTCTTAAAACTAGCAAAACGTTTTCAGCTGGTAGCAAGGCAGATGAAATGAAGAAGATAAACTGTACAGCCCTTACAAGATGTGCATTGCTGCTTTTTGCATTACAGTTATACTGCCATGTGGATCACTTGGGCAGCTGACTGCTTATAGGCTTATTGGCAGTCCTGTGGGAATTCTTATGCTTAAAACCATAAAGCATCCATGCCACAGCAAAGCCTTGAGGTGCCTTTAGTAGTGGAAGCGTCCATTAAGTGTGTGATTTTATTTTAACAACTGTCTTCTGCATTTAAAAAAATAGTATATGAAGCAATCATCCTAAATACTTGGTTGTAAGTGGCTCTTAATGAACTCTAAAATCACTGGCAATAATTTGAACAGCTCAAAAATAAGTTGACATTGCTTGATATGATCATTTTCATTGCATTGGAAGCCTTTTAACTAGAGTATAAATGTCACTAGCAGTGYCAATGCACTGAATTCTAAGAATGAACTACCCTTGTGTGTGCTCTATTGCTTGAGTGATGGAGGCAGCTCCCAGTCTGTAAATGCTTCTCAACATCTTTCCCCTGCAGATCTCTTGATGGCCGTCTGCAGGTGTCTCACCGCAAGGGATTGCCACATGTCATTTACTGCCGCCTGTGGCGCTGGCCAGACCTCCACAGCCACCATGAACTTAAGGCAATTGAAAACTGTGAATATGCTTTTAATCTTAAAAAGGATGAAGTATGTGTAAACCCATACCACTACCAGAGAGTGGAGACACCAGGTAGGAGGACTGCTTCTTCTGTTTCCATGTCTGTGTGTGTTCAGCGTAATGCTTTAAACAAAAAACAAGAAAAAGGTGATGCCCCCTCTTGACAGAAGTACAGGATTCTTAGAGCTACAGCTTTTGAGATCATACCCCTGAAAGTTTTTAATRGTAAAGTTACTGAAAAATCTTTCCAAATGTGTTTATAAACACTTCCAGGACAGCTAGCAGTATCCAGCTGGCTGGGTTGAATTCAGACTGAATAGGAGAAAAGAGTTGATTTACCTGTGGTAATATGGAATAGTCTTAATTTAAGACACCTCAGGAATTCATCTCCTCCAGTAACTAGCAGTGCAAATGTAGTATTAGCAGTGCCGAGTTTTAGAAAATTTCCAAAACGTCAGAAGAAACTGTTAGATGTTTTAGATTTATCTTTTTCCTTTTAGCTCACAGAATCACAATGTATTTTGATTACAGTGTTTTTGAATTTTGCCTTTCCAGTCTTGCCTCCCGTGCTTGTGCCGCGGCACACTGAGATCCTAACGGAGCTGCCACCTCTGGATGACTATACTCATTCCATTCCTGAAAACACTAACTTTCCAGCGGGGATTGAACCACAGAGCAATTACATACCAGGTATTTTCTTAACTACCACTGTAGACAGTGTGTTCTAACATTGTGTTGCTGGAACAAAGATGGTTATTTCATCCTTGTAAGTGATCAAATTAATTGAAATATTCACCAGTAAATTAGATTTTGTTGATTTCATGTATTAATTCCAGTGGAAATACCTAAASGCTGTTGTTGGCAGGACATAATCCTGCATGAAACCATGTTGCTGTCATTTCACAATAGCTTACTTGGTTTCAATAGATTATTTAAGATTCAGAATGCTAATAAGTGCAAAGTAAATCTTCACCTTATGCTTTAAACCTCTTTCACAAACATACAGGGGTTGCCAAATGTTGTGCATTGGAGTAATAAATTGAGTAATAAATTGATGCTTGATCTCATCACATGTAGTATRTGGAGAAAACTTTTAAATTGCAAAGCAGTGACTTAAAAAGTGTCTTGATCTGTAGCTCACCACCAGTGATGGTCTGCTTTAGCTTTTACTWACTGTTGTTTGCATAGTTTTGTCTTTTTAGTGTGAAAGAACAACCTAACGATATTGAACAGTTAAAGAATTTCTCCTCCCCCTCTTTGCCCCTTTTTCTACCCCAAAACAAACACCAAGGCTAATCTGCACCTAAAACCCTGTTACCCTTATTGAAACATAAAAGCAGTGACCTTTGTTTCCTGTCCCAACTTCCTGTTTCCTATCCCTTACAGAAGCTGCTTGGAGTTTAAAACCAACKAAAGAAAACCAAATTTGCTCACAAATGTTTAATGTATTCATGTTACAAACAAGCGGAAAATTCACGTGTGGAATCTCTGAAAGAATGAAATGACTGCCCTGAAACTTAAATATGTGCAATGTACAAGTTTTACCTATAGGTCGTAAGCAGAATGTTAATTGTGTTTTCTTTAAATATCCAAGAATTGAAATGGCATTAAACAATCAATTTAATTTGACCTTTTTTGTTTAATTTGGGCCCACATCTATAGAGGTTGCCACCTCTACAGAGCAATGTAAGTTGCTAGGAGTTGCTGTTTCCTTAACTTGCATATACTTTTTTGACTCAAACTGAGGGCTTTTGATCACGTTTGCAAATAACTGACTRGAAAGGCACCGTTGGAGATCTAGTGCTATGGAAATGAGCTAAAGTASTTACTTGCAGGAAGTTTGCTCAAGGTGATTGTAGGAATTCACATGATCTTCAAATGTTTATGCAGGTAACCACACCTCCTCCTTGTCACTGACACCCTACTCTTGTGTTCATATGATGGTATCTTACTTTATTCGACCTTGCTGACTTAATCTGGAAGGCTTGGCTGGGTTCTGATAAGCCTTGTGTGCCTTCAGCTTTCTTCAGAGAACYGTTTTCTTTAGCGGCAGGGCAGGCTAACATCTGTAGCTTCCACCCAGTCCTGTCTCAGTGCTTGATCTGTAAGAAAGTTTGGTAATCATGAAGRTGCAGGATGGCCTTTGTGAGCTGTGTGTTCCAGCCCAGGTTCTGGATGGGCTGAGCTTCACCGTCCACACTTCTGGCAGCACTCAAGCTCAACAAAAAATTTTTMATGCCCCACCTGAGTGTTCATTTCCAGCTGTGAGGTGCTCAACCTCTGACCCTAAACTATTAATAGTATTAGGCGGTGTAAATCTTCTCTGTTAGGGCAGAAACTTGACATGGAAAATAATCTGTGCCAAAGAGCCTAGATTAGCAACTGGAAACAGGAGTCATGGGTTGGATTGGAAGTGTGTATTGACCTTTTGCCCACAGCTGTGGGCTTAACAATAGTGAATGATTTGGAGAAGGGTGGAGTCCCCTTTGTCATGATGAATGCTGTGAAAAATCTTCAAAATGGGTATGATTTTTGTTATCATATTTCGTACTAGTGAAGATTTCCCTTAATCGTCCTTTCAAATTCTCACTTGAATTTTGTCACGTCTATATTTAGCACACAGAATGAATCAAAGATTAAATTCTCAGTTCATTTTTATTTAATCAACTGACTTAATCTAGTTTCCTCTCACTGGTTTCCTTCTGATCTCACAATATTGCACTACATCTCAGACATTATGTTTATTATAGTTATATTTTATTTCTTAAGCAAAAAGGTTTTATCTTTAAATTTCTGCTGTTCAGTAAGAATGTAATTAAAAGTGTTTAATCCCTGGGAGTTCCATAGACAATTCTAAAGTGATTGTAGMGATAGTTAGCTTCAAACACTTTCACTAAAGAAACACAGGTTTTGCCTTTAGTATGTAGGAAAAGACATTTGCCCAGTTCAAAGAAAGTTATTTCCTGAAAGGCAGTTGGTTAACTTGTTATCTGGATTACAAGGAACATTTTGAATGGAGAAGAGGAACATGCATACTCTCCTGGGTTTTGAAGATATTTCTTAGGAATTAGACACAGTTTCTGGTATCAGAACACTTCAAAGTCRGTACTGAGTTTACTTTAGTCTGTGAAATTCTGTCTTTAAAGAAAGCTAGTTAAAAGAATAGATGATAGTTTTAATAGAGCTTAGAAGTATTCATAATAATAATACTAGAACTTGTGCAGTGTTTTAAGTTGGTTAATATAGTTACAAATGAGTCAAATCAGCTGTTGGGTCTTGAAGAAATACATATTTGGGGACTGAACTGAAAAATAACCTTTAAATCTAACAACTTGAGTAAGGTGTGGGAGGGTATCTGATCTGATGGTTATCCTACATAAAGACAGCTCACATTATTTTTTTGTGGAAGTCACCAGATGGTTTTTTTCATTTGTAATTCTACTAAATATGAAAGCTGTTGATCACAATTGCAGAATTGTTACTCATTGTAGTGACAGCATCTTGTCTCAAATGGAACAAACAAGGATTCTGGTAATTATATAACATATTTGAGCAATTGAGTGACATACAAGAGGAGATACATTTTACATACCAATAAGGCAGGTAATGTGTTTGAAATCCTACTTGAAGGAAAAAGGGACAGCAAAATGACATTCTGATTCAGTGTTTACCTGTTACAGAGCTCATGAAGATGTGATGACAAAATGCACAAGAGTTAAATCTTACAGAAGTTTCCCCAGTCATTCTACAAATTGGTGGATTTTTCTTTCTTTTATAGAAACACCTCCTCCAGGATATATCAGTGAAGATGGAGAAACAAGTGACCAGCAGCTGAACCAAAGCATGGATACAGGTAACATTTATTTTTCATTACTTTCGAGGCTTTGGATTATTCGCTGTCATCCCTCTGTATAGGAGCATGAATGAAGCCCAAAAGATGGTGGCAGTTTTCCTTGTAAAACGTCGTGTTTTGTGCTTAAAATACCACTCAGTCTTTAATGAACATAACTTTTTTTTTGCCAGGGGAATGCTTTTAAAACATTCTGTGCCATGTTAAATATATTACGTTTGTTTTGTAACAGAAATACACAAGTCTAATTAAGACTTGACCAGAAACCCTTTAAATAGATTGTAATAGCTAATTGGTTTGAACCATTCGGTGGTAAACAGATTCATTGAAACAAAATGTCTGTTAGYCTAAACAAGTTACAGGCAATCTGTATTCTGAGAACCTGTCTCTAACTCTGACAAACTTACCACTTCTGCCATACTTCAAACTARTTTTTGTATGGAAGGCTCTGTGGCAAAAGTAGCAGCATTTGTGCCTTGGTGTGTAATCGTTTCTAGATAATGTGGTTGACCTTAGACTTGGACAATGCGCAGTTAATGTGCTGGGTAAGAGCCTCCTGCTGTGCAATGGCAGACTCTGGTGTGCTTGGTTAGCTCATGTTARCAACCATTTTCAGTTAGCTGGAATCAGCTGCACCAGTTGCTGTAAGAACTGCAATATTTTCCCACTATGTGACAACAAATACCTTAATTAAAACAGCCTGACATCAGTAGTCRCTGTAGGAATGTTTCAGTTTCTGTATTTTGCTTCTTGTGTGCAAATTGTGTTGAAGGTTCATGTTTTTMTATTTTATATATTTTATATTCCTCTTCTGGGAAAGAGTTGTTTCCTCAAGTGAGGAAATCTAGGTTGCTGTTTTCTGAAGATCATAGAGTCGTATATTATAGAATGGTTTGGGATAAAAGGGACCTTAGAGATCCTCTCTTTCCACCAGGGACACCTTCCACTACCCCAGGTTGCTCCAAGCCCTGTCCAACCTGGCCTTGGGCACTTCCAGGTATGGGGCAGCCACAGCTTCTCTGGGAAACCTGTGCCAGGGCCTCACCGTCCTCAGCATAAAGATTTTTTTCCTGATGTCTAACCTAAATCTCTCCTCTTTCAGTTTGAAGCCATTCCCCYTTGTCCTCTCACTACCTGCTCTTGTAAACAATCTCTCTCCAACTTTCTTGAAGGCTTCCTCCAGATACTGGAAGGTCTTTTTCAAGATAAACCTTTTCCTTTGATAAGAGAAGGAATATMTTGCTTCTCTCATTCACTCTTTCTTAACTGCTTTTTTCCTGAATTTGAGAAGTCACTACCTTCTCACTGGTCAAGTGCAGAGTGTGCATAAAGTGAGAGTTCTGCCAGATACARTGCTAAATTAATTGGTTCTTTACAAGGAGGGGTGGGTTCCCAGAAGTCTGGGACTGGTTATATGATATCTGAGATTTCTTTTCTCTGAAAAGATATCTYCTGATATCTTGATATCTTCTGAAATCTTCTGATATCTTTTCTTTTCTCTGAAAAATTTCAGTGTAGAACTGATTTAGATAATTTAGGTTATGCGTACTAATCTGAAATAATGAAAACTGTTTGCTCTGAAAYCTGTCTGTCTGTCTTCAACAGGATCTCCAGCAGAGCTGTCTCCTAGTACTCTATCTCCAGTAAATCATAGCCTGGGTAAGCTGGAAATACTTAAAATTATTTCTCTGTGTGTTGTGACTCTTAATTACGTATGTAATTCTTTAAAAGTGAAAAATCTTGAAAAGTGAAAAAGTTAAATTCTTAAGAAATTTAGAGCTGTATTAAGAGGTGACTCTTGGGTTGGCTTCCTGATGTTAAATATAATGGAGCTGGGTTAATCACTTGTTAACAGTTACTCTGTTTCTCTATCTGTTGAGCTCCTAGCAGAGAGTGATATCTTTGTGTGTGCAGGAATAGCATTTATAAAATAAGTAGTTTAAAGGATGTTTGCCTGTCCATAATGCTGCCCAGACTTGCTGTCTCCCTTGTGTGTGTGCTCTGCTGCTCTTCTCATGTACTGTTTCACCTGTAACCACAGCACAGTTGTTGCTCCCACATTAGTAGCCCACCTGCTTTGATCCGGTGCCATTGCTGTGTGTCTGTGTAAGTGCCTCAGGAAGATCAGATTGCCATGGGTTTGTTTAAGGAATGGTGACAGGATGTGACAGGAAAATGCTGTTCAGAACGCTGAGTAAGTAATTAGGGTAGGTAAAAAGGGGATTTAGTGAAGAAAAAACTGAAGATATGCAGGGAAGATACTGTTCTCTGGTAGGGGACAATAAAGTAGCTTAGAAGTATCTTTATCTAAATAGATGGTGTAATACAAAAGAACGTGATTTTCATATTATTTTTTCCTTTTTGTTGTTCAGTGTTTGATAGTTTAATCTTTTCTTTAATGCTGCCAAAATGTTTACAAGCTACAGAAAAGGCAACAGGAATGTCTCAACGTCTGGCGCTCAGAGCACCATTAGCTTAATCATTTTGCCGAGCAAAATGCAAGTACTGAACTAAATGAGCTGTGGTCAGATTAGATCACCCCTTCTTTCCCTCCTCCTTCCCTTGTGTGGAAGATTGAATTCCATTCTGTTTACTGAAGTAGGTAAAAAGGACAGCAAGCAAAATGTAGTTTGAATAGTTTGAGGAGGCTACTGCTGTCATTTCTGGGAGAGACAAATAGCAGGGTAGATCGAACTACTTTCAGCCTCAAAATCTATGTTAAGCTTGGTTTTTAAAATTTTTTTTTAGACTTGCAACCAGTTACTTACTCGGAGCCTGCGTTTTGGTGTTCAATAGCATATTATGAATTGAATCAAAGAGTGGGAGAAACCTTCCATGCGTCTCAGCCTTCCCTGACTGTAGATGGCTTTACAGATCCATCAAATTCAGAGCGATTTTGTCTAGGTCTGCTTTCCAATGTAAACAGAAATGCTACAGTGGAAATGACAAGGCGACATATAGGTAAAGATCTCTGATCTTTTAACTATTTAATTTCATTTTGTTGGTTAAATTATCTGGAATGATCCRGGTAGGATGTGTGTTGGGTTGCTTTCATCCTTGTGCAGCCAGCCATCAACCTTCTCTCTCARGGCTTGTCAAGGATAGTTTGGTCTCTCTGGCTGAGAACAGAAGTGGAAAGACATAGAGGTCACTGCTTCTGAAATTAAGGAGAAAGGTAGCAGCTTCTACCACAGAAGCCAGTTGGAATTGGAAAGAGATGTAGTGATGGCTGGAGCTGAAAGGAGCTGCCTTTCCTCACTCAGTAACCTCTAAGCTGGTGGCAGCAGCAGTCACAAAGCTGTCACACTGAGAGCAGCACAGGAGGAAGCCACTCTACTGTGTGGCATTCCTGCTGCTCACATTGCTGTTCCTSCCTTCTGTAAAATCATGGTGCACCAAAGCATCCCGGGGGGCAGGTTCTTGGCTTTCAGGCTCCTCAATGGGCCACTCTGTTATGGTCAGCATTTATATGCAGAATTGCTTGTAATTGAACTTTAAGCTTTAATTACTAAGTATTAACATGTTGCTTAGCTTATTGTAGTTTATAGAATACAGAATGGACGTCAATAGGATGAAATTCTGAATTGTTTTCTGAAATGGGAAAAGCTGCTATTGTGAAAATTGTTTGATTGAGATTTTCTTCTTAATGTGGGTCAAGAATGTTGTTTTCCACAATGCAGTTTTTTTCTTGACTTTAGGTTCTTCAGTAAATACCTTAATTTTTTTTTTTTCTGGATACATTCAATAGCAACATTTAYGACTTTTTGATTGTTGTTGTTGTTTTTACTTTCAGTAAAATTTCAACCTCTTCAATAGAACAAACTCCTCTTATGCCAAGTCCAAATGCCAAATCCAAATGCTTGTCTAATAAAATTTTAGATGTGCAGAAACCTAGGCTGTGCCTATACTGACTGGTCAAATTACCAATGATGAGGAAAAGCAAAAATCTCATGAGTCCTCACTCATTAATAGAGCAGCTGACATTTTATTGTTTGAAAAATGGTTCTAATGAGAAAGAGGAATGGAAACTATGACCTATAAAGGATCTCTTAATTTTAAATAGTTCACTTTGGGAGATCAATTGCACAGTATTTATTTTCTGCTAGAAATAAACCATGCAGATTTGTTTTCCACTTAGAGAGAGAACAAAATAACAAAGTAACAATTTAAAAGTGGACAGCTAGTATTTTTTTACAGGTATTTTTTTGTAATAGGGCTAAATGAAGTCCTATTGTTTTTGTTAAAGCAGTGCAGGAGTATGCAGTGGGTTGTGAAATAGTGTGGGTGCATGTAAGCAGAAAGTGTTGCGGTGGTGATCTTGTGTTTTCTCTTTTGACCATAGTGGCCTGTGCTGCTTCACATACAACACTTTAGTATTAGCAYGAGTTTTAATTATGTTTTGATGAACACTGCTTCTGAGCTTAGATAGCTACAAGCCATTATATGGCTGGAAAACTGTCTTTCACTTTTGATCAAAAAGTATTCTGCTTCTCCTCCAAATATGTGTATTTGTGGGAGAAAAATGCACGTTGTGTTCTGCTCCTGCTACAACTGTCAGCACATCGGTGAAGTCCTGTAGATAATAGATTTCTGTTTCTGTTGTAAAGAAAAACCTTGGCCTTCTCTGAAAAATAAACTCCCTTGTTCCCTATTTGCTTGTGTCATATCATAACTAGAGTTCCTTTGGATTTTGCTACAGGCAGGGGAGTGCGTCTGTATTACATTGGTGGAGAAGTTTTTGCCGAGTGCCTGAGTGATAGTGCGATCTTCGTTCAGAGCCCCAACTGTAATCAAAGATACGGCTGGCATCCTGCAACTGTGTGCAAAATTCCACCAGGTTAGTAGCCTACCGAAGGTCTTGTGTGAAAATACCCAGTGGAGGTATTCACTGAGTGACGTTTGCTTTCCTTTTTGTCATTTCTTGATAGATTAAGGCCTCTGTGTAGCAAACACGAGTATTCACTGACTGTACCCTTTTGACTCTTTATAGGATGCAATCTAAAAATCTTTAATAACCAAGAATTTGCTGCTCTTCTGGCTCAATCTGTGAATCAGGGCTTTGAAGCAGTTTATCAGCTTACTAGAATGTGTACCATAAGAATGAGCTTTGTTAAAGGATGGGGGGCTGAATACAGGTAAGAAAAGAAAACCCTTTGTTCTTAAATTTAGAGTTAATAATTTTTGTTCTTTCACTAATATACCATTTCTGTCTGGCTTGAAAGCCAAATGTCCAAGCTTCTTGCTGCTATTGTGGATAGGCTGTCTGCAAATTGARCCCACATTTTCCTTTTTCCTCCCCTCAGCTATGGAACTTCTAAGTTACAAAGTCCATAGACTGATTTTAGTGTTGCCTGGGAGCCAGCTGTTGGGCAGGGAATGTCGTCAAAGTTCTGTTCCCTTGCTTGCATATTGTGGTGAAATCCCTGACAACATTTTGAAGCTTCATGGTTTGTTCTGTGAGATTGGTATTTGTTAGACATGGAGTCATTTTGGTTTCTGTCCTGCTCTGCATGTAGCACGAGTTCCTTAGGTTGTGGTGCAGCATAGCATTGGTGGTACCTGACAGAGAGACTTGGAGTCACTCGCAGTGCCTCTTGCAAAATGAAATAGCTGGAGAATATGCATCTAAAGGATGGCAAGTATTTTGGAACTTGTAGTGGAAAAAACTTTGCAGGAGTAAGATGACTGTGTTTATGTAGTAAAACTCCRAAAAACAGTTCTTTGAGTGGAAAAAAATGGCATTTTATCTATTTTTGAATAGATTCCAATTTTATTCTCTATTAGCACAAATGAAAAGCTGCAGTTGAGGACAGTGCCTGTTTTTAATGAAATATGAGAATTCAAGAAGAAACTTGAGCAATTTTAAAGATTTCATTATTTTGCAGAGTTAGACTTCTGGTTTTAAACAAATTTCTTAAACTTCTCTAGAAATTGTCCACTGAAAAAATGAAGACTGACATGTCGATGTCGAATGCAATACATAATATTTTTTTATCCATACAATTTCTGAAGTTGAATAATGGTATGTAGGGTCCACTTGGGTGGATTCCTTTATCTGCTCTTGAAATACATGTCAATAGCAGTATCAGTATGTGGGGGARGTTTCTTAGCTAAATGAGGCCAATTTTGTAATAGTCTAATGAGGTGAAATGAGAAATTTGAGTAATGGAATCAATTGGTATCTCTTTGTTAGGAAGAGATACACAATAGAAAGTCTGGCTCAGGTTTAAAGAGCTATTGGATTTGGCTCTGAATGAGTATGTATACACTTAGGCATAATTAAATACAACATTCAAATCTGAGCAGAAGAAAGGCTCAATGAGCCAGGTTATATAGAGGCATCTTGAAGTGAACAGAGTGTAAGCACTGGTTTAAAACTGTGGGGAGGCTTTTGTTAAAATTACTTCTAAATGGGGTGAATGTTGGTGGTTGGTCTRTTAACTGTTCATAGATGGTAGGATTGAAAAAGCTGCAGCAGTAACACTGCCGAAAGAGCACAAAAACTCTACAAAAACTGGTTACTGACTAATGCTGAGCTAGTTTCTTTGCACCTCTCTCTAAGTGATGCAAATAAATTACWGATAGACAAAGCTTGTAAATATGCAGTTGAGATCAGAGCAAGAAGAGGTGGCTCCAGCAAACACTACCTTGAATTTAAATGAATGTAGTCTGACYTGTTGAAATGGACCAGGAAACACTGTAAACCCCATCACTCTTGTTAAAATGTCCGTGCTTCATTATTATGTGAAAAAACATTTCTCATAGAACAGGCTTGGGCAAAGGCAAAACATTACGTGCATTTCAGGCCTGTGTGAATAAATGTGCAGGTATGGCAGGGTGATACGTTTTATAGGCTTGGTAAACAAAATAGCTTACAGCTTTTTGCTTCGTTATGTGTCAGCCCAAATTGGGGGTGGTAGAAGTTYAAATCACCAGTCAAGTGTTCATGTTAGCACAGGAACTATCCAGGTCTGGGATCATCTTTTAAATAAAGTTTAGTAGAGGTAATTAGTGATATTTGAACTGGGTATCTTTTGGTTGATGAAGCTGAGTTTTTAGCTTTTAAATGGTTGCTCAGTGACTGTCACTATTTTATCAATTTTTACCAGCCTAGTGCAAAGCCAGGGCTGTTAAACAGAACCAGTTGTAAAATTTTGAGGAAGTGTGTTGTGAAACACATTGTAGGGGAGTTGACAGTGGTGGAATAATGAACTTCCTTCTTTGGGAGAGGATTCGAGAGTAAATGGAATTATATTTCCTGTGGTTTAGATTTGTTTTTCTGTTGTATCAYTTTGTTCTGGCGTAGACATTCGGGGCTAAGATAACCGTTTTGTAGAGTGCYGAAAGAGCACAGACCCCAGCTGCTGTCTTCTCTTAGAAAATGTGAAACTTTTGGAATCAATCTTTGCTGTCTTAATCTTTCTRCCCTTTCAGTTCCTTTGTTTATATAAACAGATTTCCTTAAAGCAAAATGCTGCAGTACCAACAGTAAAAGTGAAGGAGCTGTGTTTGTGTCTGACTAATCTGCTGCCTTTTCATCTTGGGATAGCTGGAATTACTAGGAAAAACTGGCTTAGCAACCATAGTCTTGCCARTCTAGTTAGGGAAAACTCCCATGCCTGGAGTGGGTACAGTGAAATAACAGGATTTCTCAGGCAGAGTATGTCCAATACTGATTTCTTTACTTTTGGAGATGAGAAGGAAGATGTTTGAATAACAGCTCTCTGAAACAAAGATACATGGGAGAGAGAATTAAGCATTTATGGTTGTCAGTCCTTCAGCTTTACTGAAAGTTGCTATATGGTRTTTAATTAAGGATTTCTGTTGTGAAAAATTATAGGCAATTTAGTACAGAAGACGAGAGAAACACAGTTTCTACTTCAGTTGTTTGTGTGAGGATGTTACAGTACAAAACACACSTAGAAGTGTAAGATTACAGGAAATCAGAGATAAAGTTTGGTGTTCCTTTGAGATACCATCAGTTAGCACCTATAACCACACATGATGTTTTGAAACAATGTTTCTGACATCATCTACCAGGTTGCTTATACATTTATTATGTCATTTGCTCCAAAGAGCCAGACCTTATGGTCAGGATAGCATTGTGCTGTTTGGCCACGCTGACAGTGCAGAGCCGAGGTTTCTATTCCAATTTCTYAGTAGTTGCCTACAACATTCGAATTCAGTTATGCGTGCAGACTCTTGGAAGGCTGAGATACAGGTGCACACAGTTGTTTGTGGTGCAAACACTGCCTCAGTTTGACAACCTTCAGTTCTGAATTTCRTTTTAAAAGTAACACTCTTGGTGTGGCACTTAAAGGAAATATTCTTCAGAGTGGAATAATCTTGATCGATTACAGACAAGCATGTAATTATTAATGTGTCTTATATATGTGAAGTGTTTCAAAGTTTTGGGGCTTTTTTTTCTGGAAAAAGTTTAGTAGCAGTTATGGTAATGGTTGCAGGTTTTTATCTCTCTGTGCAATAGATATAGATGGAAACATATTTAATCATATGATGCAGAATTTTGTGGCAGCTGAACCTGCATTCTGCCTGTAGGTGATTGACCCTAGCTGGATTCCAGGCACGGTCAACAAAAGCAGTTCTCATTCTCCTTCACAGCTGGACAGAGGAGAGAAAATATGAAAGGTTCCCAAGTTTAGATAAGGACCATGAGAGATCCCTCACCATGGGAAAAATAGGCTCGAAATAGAGTTATTGATTGAATTTATTGCTAACACAATCAGAGCAAGGTAATGAGATGTAAAATAAGACCTTAAACATCTTYCCCCCACCCCTTACTCCTTGCTGGCTCTCCTTCCTCCCCCAGCTATGAAGGGAGATGAAAATGGGTGTCATGGTCAGTTACTCACATTTTGTTCCTGCCGCTGCTCAGGGAGAGGAGTCCTTCCCCTGCTCCAGCGTGAGGTCTCTGGCATGGGAGACAGTTTTACATGAGCTTCTCCACTGTGAGTCCATCCCACAGGCAACAACTCTCCACAAACTGCTGCACTGTGGCTCTCTCTTCCATGGGGTACATCCTTCAAGCACAGGCTGCTCCAGTGTGGGCTCCCCTCTCCAAAGGCTTCCCTCTGGGTCACAGCTCCTCTCAGGCATCCCCTGCTCCAGGCTGGGCTCCTGCAGGGGCTGCAGGTCAATCTCTGCATCCCTGTGCCCTCCATGGGCTGCAGGGGCTCAGCTGCCTCACCATGGGCTGCCCCTCAGGGGCTGCAGGGCAATCTCAGCTCTGGCCCCTGGAGCAGCTCTGTCCCTCCTCCTGCCCTGACCGTGGTGTCTGCAGAGTTGTTCCTCTCACATGTTCTCACCCTGCTCTCCTCTGGCAATTACCACTGGGCAATCACTTAATTTTCCTCTTAAACATGTTACCACAGAGATGTGACCGTTCCTGACTAGTCCAGCCTTGGCCAGCAGCATGTCCRTCTTTGGAACTGCCAAGGATTGGCTCTTGCAGGCATGGAGGATGCTTCTGGCAGTTTCTCATAAAAGCCACCTGAAGTTCCCTCTGCTATTAACGTGGTCACCCCAACCCAAATCACTGACTTTTCCCTATTTTTTGTTTTCTAGGCGGCAGACGGTAACAAGCACTCCTTGCTGGATTGAGCTCCACCTGAACGGGCCCCTACAGTGGCTGGACAAAGTATTGACTCAGATGGGCTCCCCCTCAGTTCGCTGCTCCAGCATGTCCTAAAACTCTCCTCTGTCATCAGTGGGCTAAAAATTGAGTCCAATCAACAGACTTAATATAACAGCTCGTCTGTCGTAGTATTTGTGTGTGGTCCCCATGAACTGTTTACTATCTAAAAAGATTTTTTAAAAAGAAAAAAAAAAAAA